GAAAATCATATCCATCACATTCCCTTAATAATGCGCAAACCCCGAAAATTAGGGTTTCCCATTAAACAGCTGTCATGTCGTCTATAGGTTGCCACACTGTGACGGCCATTTAAAATCCCCGACATAATGCTCATCACCACATCGTGTGATGCCTTCATCGCGACGTGGTACTGCCTAATATCCAAAATACATTAATTTAAGTACCTCCAAGAATCCGGATGTTACAATCAACTATTTAATCAATAAATTAGCCAACTAGTCACTAAACACACACCTAAACTCATCAATAAAGATATATGGGTAGATAAGATGTTGAAATATAAAATATTTTCATAAATATTCAACAAAAGTTCTTGGAGTTCTTCAAAATAAACCAAATATCCAAAGATTACGACCAATACCAACCAAGATTAATATAGCCTGACATGGCTAAGTTTAAACAAAATAAAAAAAAAAGTTTAGAAATACCAAACATTCCAAGAAAAAAATATAAAAGAAAAATTGCAATCTTCAAGTGCTCTTCAAGCTTCAAAAACCTTCAAAGGAGCAGAGAAATTCCTCCAAACTTTGGATCCAATAATCGTAACATCCCAAAAACCATGCCAAATGTAAAAAAGACAAAATTGTCCTTGATAACTTACACATGTCGCGTAAGCTGTAATAAACTATAATTAAAAGGATAAAAATAAATAAAACAAGAATATGCATGATGACTAATTAAAAATGAAATAAAATATGCTAAAAGAAACTATAAAAATAATCAAATAAAACGCACATATCAGTGCATACGTATCCGAAATTAATCTAATAGAGTTTAATTTTCGAGATTCCTCATTTTAAGATTGCTTTTTAAGCAAATTGTCTCATATAGTCATTCTGTTAATATATATATATATATATATATATATATATATATATATATGTATGTATATTATGAATAATAAATGGATCGTAGTTATTGGATGTACGGGATGATACGTTCAGACATTAAATACTTGGCATGTGTAGGCGATTTTCTAAAATTTGCCGAGGAAAATCAGGTGAAAAGGGGAGAAGGTTACATATGGTGTCCTTGTATCGATTGTCAAAATATTCATATGTATACCGACTCTACAAAAATAGAAGAACATTTGATAACTCATGGGTTTATGAGTAATTATACGTGTTGGCCACGTCATGGTGAGACATTGCTCGATCATATCACTGGTTTTTCAGAAACTAATGACGAAAATGATTGGAATGGCGATCCTGATTGGAGTAACAATCATGATAATATATACAATATGTTACATGATTGTGAGGATAATGTTGTTGAAAAAGATTATGACAAATTTCAACAATTGTTTGACGAATCAGAAAAACCATTGTATAATGGGTGTACAAAATTTACCAAACTTTCAGTTGTGTTGAAATTGTTTAACATAAAAGCAACCCATGGTTGGAGTGATACAAGCTTCACCAGTCTCCTAGAGATTTTGCATGAAATGCTTCCTGAAGATAACAAGCTACCAGATTCATTATACCAAGCAAAAAAGTTGATTTGTCAAATGGGAATGGAAATCGAAAGAACACATGCATTTCCAAATGATTGTATGTTATATAGGAACCAACATGCGAACCTAGATAAATGTATTATATGCGATACTTCACGGTATAAGAGGAAAGATCATATGGAAGAAAATGTAAAAGTGACAAATAATGGTCCGCCTGCGAAATTATTATGGTATTTTCCAATCATACCAAGATTGAAACGGTTATTTGCAAATGCCAAAGATGCAAAATTATTCAGATGGCATGCTGAGGGTAACATAGACGAGAACATAAGACATGTGGCTGATTCTCCTCAATGGAGGAATATCAATAAGAATTTTGAAGAATTTGGTCGAAAGATTAGAAATATTCGATTTAGACTTAGTTCTGACAGAATTAATCCATTTGGAAGCCTTAGCAGTCGTCATAGTACATGGTCGGTACTTCTCTGTATCTGTAATCTCCCACCTTGGCTATGCATGAAACGGAAATATATTATGATGTCATTGCTAATTCAAGGTCCAAAACAACCTGGAAATGACATTGATGTGTATTTGGATCCATTAATAGACGATATGAAAATATTATGGAATACAGGGCATAATTTCCAACTTAGGGCCATGATTTTTTGCACAATAAGTGATTTTCCATCATACGGAAATTTATCAGGATACAGTACAAAATGGAAAAAGGTGTGCCCAATTTGTGAAAATGATACATATTCTCTATGGTTAAAAAACTGTAAGAAAACTGTATACATGGGTCATCGGAGATTTCTTCCGGATAATCACCATTATTGTAAGAAGAAAAAGGTCTTTAATGGTAGAATTAAGAAAAGAAAGGCAATAAAACCATTAGGTGGAGAAGTTTTATTCGGAAAAGTAAAAGGTAAAAGTAGATCTGTTACCAAAAATATTTGGACGAAGAAGTCTATATTTTGGGATTTACCATACTGGAAGCACTTACAGGTCTGACATTGTCTTGATATCATGCATATGGAGAAAAATGTTTGTGAAAGCTTTTTAGGGTTGTTGTTGAACCTTAAATGGAAGTCTAAGGATGGGGCTAGTGTTCGAAGAGACACGCTAGCAATAGGAATTAGACCTGAGCTTGCTCCAATTGAGAAGAATGTTGGGAAGCGTACGTATTTGCCTCCAGCATGTTATACCATGTCTAAGGATGAAAAAACATAATTTGCCAACGCTTGAATAATATAAAGGTCCCGCCTGGCTATTCTGCTAACATTAAGAAGTTGGTGTCGATGGATGAATTAAAATTGGTTGGCATGAAATCCCATGATTGTCATGTTTTGCTGACACATATGATTCCCACTGCAATTCGTGGAATACTTCCAGACCATATTCGACACACGATCACAAAGCTTTGTCTATTTTTTAACATGTTTCATTCAAAAGTTATTAACCCCGAGGCGTTGGATTCATGGCAAAGTGATATTATAATGACTCTTCTGCCAACTCGAGATGTACTTTCCACCTTCTTTTTTTGATGTAATGGTTCACCTGATATCTCATATTGTATATGAAATAAAGGTTTTCGGTCCAATTTTCCTACGATATATGTACCCATTCGAGAGATATATGAGTGTCTTAAAAGGGTATGTAAGGAACCAACATCGAACAGAAGGTAGTATTATTGAAGGATATGCTTTAGAGGAGGCGATTGAAATTTGTACAGGCTATCTTCAAGGTGTCAAGAATATTGGCATTCCGAGATCTCGACACGCGGGTAGACTTGTAGGGATCGGGACAATAGGATTGAAAAGGCTCGTCCCAGACCGTGAGGAATTTCAGCTTGCACATTTTACAGTGTTACAACACATGACAGTCATTGCTCCATACATAAATGAGCACAAAAGAATGCTACAGACGATGCACAGAAATAAGGGTGAAAGATGGTTGACTACCGAGCTTAACAAAACCTTTGCAAAATGCCTGAAAAATAAAGTGAAAACAAGTTATTGTGAAGAAAGTATGGATGAAGTAGTGGTACATTTGGGGAATGCTCCGCAACATCTTGTGGCAACGTACCAAGGCTACGATATCAACGGCTATACATTTTACACCAATCGACAAGATGGAAAAAGTACATTTCAAAACAGTGGTGTGACGTTAATAGTCTCTACGATGGAATTTAGCGGGGTTGATCATGAGGCAAGGTGCAGGATCGCCAAAGACTCTTACTATGGTGTCATTCAAGAAATTTGGGAATTGAAATATGATTCCATCATTGTACCCTTATTCAAGTGCAGATGGGTCGACAACCAACGAGGTATTAAAGTTGACAACGATGGTTTCACTATTGTCGACCTTTCAACAAATGGCTATGTATCCGAGCCATTCATTTTAGCCAAACAAGCCACCCAAGTATTTTTTGTCGAGGATCCAAAGGATTCGGGATGACACATCGTCTTGCATGGTAAACGGCGTATACTTGGTGTTGATAATGTCACAGATGAAGAAGATTATGATCATTTTGACGAGCTACCTCCTTTTTCCATTGGTATCCCTTCGTCGAATGATAATATTGATGATACCACTTACTTAAGATCCGACCACGATGAAGGATTATGGGAATGATGACACAATATTAAAAGGTAACAACCAATTTATTTGATTTGAAACAAAAAAAAATTCAATGTAAATTTTCTATTATGATCAACATATTAACATAGTTTGTTTTATTGCAGGTCGAGCAACTACGAGATAACAGGAATGATAGGATGCGCTTGCTTATTGGATTTGTTTGGAGAAGTTTGAAATTAGTTAGGCTTTTCAGTTTTATTATTTAGGTCGAAAAAGACCCTTTTAAATTTGGTTTGTATTGAAATGTTTTTATGAAATATGATTGTTCTTAAGCTCTGAATTAACCCATCTTCAACAACAAAATAAAATCATTATTAACCTCTAAGTGGAATATTCTTAAATTAATTTTTTTAATAAAATCATGATAACAGTTATAACTAGACATTATTGTTATTATATTTCATTATATTAAATTTTTTAAATATAAACATATGACATAAAATAATAAATAAAACCCCTATAAGGGGACGTTTGGAATTGAAAAGTGTAAAAAAAAAAATAAATAAATAAATAAATAAATAAAATCCGTAATTGACAAATCTTATGTTGATTTAGTCAAATTTGATATTAACTTTACGCAAAAGGGTATTCACATGAATATTAATAAAAAGACTAGTTTATACCAATCGAAATTAATCTTATACATTAAGCTGGGGAATTAAAAAACAAGATTATATTAATTGGAAGTTAATCTTATACATAATGCAAATTAACCTTAATTATTTATTTTAAAACAAATGGGATTCTACCATCAATCAACCACGTTGTGTAATGGATAAAATTACCGCCATTAATAATTTTCGATATCCCCCCATTATGCGTTTTTGAAGCTCCTGTAAAATTCAGAAACCACCAAGTTCACAAACAATGTTAATGCTTAGCTTCATCACCGCGATAGCCAATAAACTATTGAGGTATACAATGGATGATCAACCACAACAGCCACCGCAACCACAAGAGAGAAAAAAGAGAATAGCCACACAACTAATTGACAGTCAAGAGCCACAAGAAGTTGATTTCGATCATTTTGGTCTCCATTATGGGGATAAACAAATTAAGTTCGCCAATGAGTGTGGAGTCCTCACACGATCGATGATTTCTATCAATTATCGAACATGGAAGAAAGTGCCGCAGGGTGAACTTGAAATGTTGTGGTTAACTATTAAAGTATGATATCTAGACCTATTATATGTGTTTTCATTTAGTCAAAATATGTTATTAACGGTTAAAATCTTTACTTTGAGGTAAATAGAGACACTGGAATATTCAAAATAATAAACGCAGAGATGATGTGCTTAAAATTTGCAACACTGCATGGAAATGCTACAAGAAGAGGCTCATACGTGATTTCATGGCCAATGGAAGAGATCCAATTCCAATCTACCCATATCTAGACCCTGATACATGGAAAACCTTCAAAAAGGAGAGATCTTCAAAGGAATTTCAGGTTTGTTGGACTTTAGTTCATCTAATTCTTTCCATGTTTTAATTGTGTTACCTCTGTTTGCAGGTAATCAGTGAGAAAGCGAGAGCAAATGCGAAGTTTCAAAAAAAATGCAGCACGGTTAGGTCCACATGGGTATCGGGGCAGACAAGCTCAATGGGAACAAGAGATTGCATCCGGAGGGTTGTCGGAAGAGTTAGCATCAGAATTGTGTAAGATAAAAAGCCAGCGTTCAAAAGATTTTGTCATGGGTAGGCTATCTAAAAATGAGTCCGGATCATATTATGCACCATCCGGCAACAGTGACTAAGCTTGTAAGATAATTCTTCGTTTTAAATTTTGTTATCATTTCTATTGAAATAATTGAATTCCGGTACATTAAGAAATCATGGTAAGATAAAAGTAAACTAACCATCAACTATAGAACTCTAGATCAATGGGAATTATCTATCTCTCAACTTAACAACTTAAGCACATCAATGTTTTGTACAGGTAATGCCTAGCTATCTTTGTTCCAATAGAATGTTGATGTTGGAATTGCATTGGTTATGTTAACAGGCAGAGGTGGAAAGTCAAATATCGTGAGGAGAATGGGTCCCTGAACCTGGAGAAGATTCGTCGACAGCAGTGTTAGGAAGAGAGCATCCCGGTCGGACTAGGGCAGTTGGTCGTGTTGGCTTGAGAAAAGCCATGCACGGGATAGTTAAAAAGAAGAGGAAAATGCATGCCAAAGAATCTATGGATGAGTTGCGCGCCAAGTTGGACGACGTTACAAAACAGGTGGCAGAATTAAAGGCAGTGATACATGACTCTGGGAAGCAAGTCATGGACAATGTGAGCCTGAGAGTTCAGAATAGTAGTTCTGACTCGATGCCAACCTTGGCTGCTATAAAGGTAATTGTGTATACCTCTTTGCCTGATCTTTAATCTTGATACTGCATTTTAATTTTGAATTAGTTATTTAACATTTGAGTTATTTATATACAAAACCTGCTTGTAGAACCCCACTCAGTGTAAATTGGTGTTACCATATGGGGCACTGGATCAGAATTATGCTACTGGCTTGGTCTTTCCGTATGGGGATGGGTTAATACACTCACTCCCTTTGCATGAAAATCACATGAAAGTGTTAATAGACCAAATCAACAAAGACTTTCAGAGTCTTCCTATTCCTGTAGTGACTGATGAAGTCAGTAATCTTCAAAATGCAGTTGGCCAAATAATTCAATGGCCACGAAATGCTATTATTCTGACTCAGGTACATATTTTTTATCCTTGATTTTTTAGTTACTATATATATGCACAATTTATTTCCAATGTGTTTAATGAAAATGGTTTGTGGATATAGATTCAAGGAAGAAAGCAACAAAATTCGACTCCAAGTTTGCCACAAACCAGTGTAGGGGGTTGTACAGGAAAGAACACACTCACTCCAATGAACAAATCGAAGCCAATTGAATTACTACGTGAGCGATTGAAGAACAACCCACTAATTCATGTCGTAGCTGATTATGGCATTCTAGAAACTGACAAGTTTAAGTTTTGGGTAGCACAAGATGAAATTCTTTGTTTGTTAAACAAAAGAACACTTGATGTTACCATTCTAACCGTTTGGGAGATGTAAGTACTCTTAACTTTATTATTGTTAGTTGCTCCAATCTTTTGTTTCTAGGTTGTCTGTAGATATTATATGATTGTAACACATTTTGTCTTATTTTTAGGAATCTACATTCCATTGCACGTGTGAAGAACAAATGTTCTTTCCTAAACCCACATAGGATTCTTGGGGCAAGCTGCCAAGAAAACCCGGAAGCTGTTATAAATTACATTGTTGATGCGATGCGGATTCATCAAGGGAAACAATTTCTCATCGCTCCATATCTACAAAGGTATTTTATGTTGATATATATATAATCGTTGTTAAACTTTCTCTATATTTATTGTTTATACTAATACTTCAAACATTACAAGTGAGCATTGGGTCTTGTTCGTGATTTGCCCTCATAATGGCACCGGGTACATATTGGATTCAATTAGGAGTCCTGTACAAAAGCCTGTGGATACCTATTACCTATTGAAGAAACATGTTGACATGTAAGAAATTTCATAAACTTGACATTCTTTTCTATTATTTTTATCACAACACTAATTTTTATATTTCAGGGCTTTTGCAAGGTATGGGAAATACACATCAAATCCAATCAGTTGGACGCTCGCCGAGGTAATTCATGTCACTATACCCAAAAATATAGATTTTGTATTTCACATGTTTGATTAGTGTATATTTCTGATTACAATTTAGTGCAACCAACAACCGGACGATTGGGAATGCGGCTATTATGTAATGAAATGGAGGATGGATTTTGTGATGGTTGAACAACACGGATTCTTGAGTAGAGTAAGTACTTAAATATATTTATCATTTTGTATATGACAATAGACTCTATTTTTTTATATAACAATTGTAATTTATATGTTTATATAGACTGCTACCCCTTGGAACGACACCACTCATTTTTCGGAAACCACCTTGTTTTCAATTGTTGTTAAGTGGGCAACACAATTCCTGAACAAATATATGAAAGGTGTGGTTTCCTAGAAAGACATAACTGGTTAGTTTTTAATACTTACAACATCAAACTTTTAGTTTAACCTTGAGTCCTTGACCAATGTGTTCTAGACTAAGAACACCTAATGTGCACATGATGTTCTAACCAGGTTCTTCTTTAATGTTTAGTTATGGCAAAACAAGAGGAACAATGGTGAAGGCTGGACTCGTGATTGGAAGACTCACTTTGACTGGAACCATCAATGCTGTTGAAGTTTTTTTTTTTTTTATTGCTGTTGAAGTTTTTTTTTTGTCAGCTGCAACAATTGCTTAACTAGTTAACTTATATTTGCATTATTGTTTGAACTTTATTATTGTTACGAGCAACTAGTCAATTTAAATTTAATATTTCTTTAATCTTGAATGTACCTAATATTTGCTTGCTCTTTCATGTGTGTATGTTGGCAAATTTAATTTGATCTTATGTTAACAGCATTTGGATGTTTAGGGTGCCACATGAATGGAAATATGATTATTGATTTCGTATTAAAATTTTTTTGAAAAGGTAAAGGACCTGGTTGTTTATTATTATAGAACCGGGTAATATGTTGGTGGAAGATTGAATTTGGCTCGGTAAAAGACGTTGTTCTATGTATGGAAACCGGGCTTTATATTACAAATATGACCCGGTAGAAAACAGGTTCTATATGGCATTTCAAATATAACCCGACCACAACAAACCCGGATGCAAAACCGGGTTCAATTAGGCTTTTTAACCGGGTCTTTTTGCTCTTTTTGTAGTATACATTAATTCAGGGACCTATTTGTTGATTAAATAATAATATACATTAACTCAAGCCATATGCAAATCTTCAGAAAAATCTCAATATTTTGATAAAATTAACGAAAAAAATATAGGATAATAGCTAAATCTCTATAACTTGCCAAAAAGGGTTATTTTGAAATTTTAACCGATAAGCTATCTTTTTAAAAAAAAATTTGAGACTAAACCAAAAAATTGTCCAAAATGTTGGGACTTTAACGGAAAATTTCATTTTATTAGTCGTATACCTATATGTTTTTTGAACAAGAATGTTTAATATACATGGAACATACATTGAGTTAATTAAATTATATTTTGAATTTATCAAAATCAACTTGGCTATATTAGAAGGAAATAATAAATAACTACTTTATGGTCTCAAATGTGCATATAAATATAAGCTTTGTATCATTTGTTGTTCATTTAATTCTTTTGAAATACAAAAAAGGTAAACTAACCTTAGAAAATACTCAACATAATGACTAAGCTTTTCGAATCTCAAATGATGGTCTTTTTTATAAGCTTTCTGGTACTATTTATTTGCTATCAATGTAAGTTCCTATCATTCATTTACTTTTCACATATCCCATTTATTTATACGGATAACGTACCCTCTATTTTTATTTATTTATTTTATTTACAGGTAATGAAGTTATAATAAGTGACATCAAAGCTATTGGGATTGTGAGAAAGTGCCATATTAGTTGTAGCAGAGTTGGAACTTCGGCTTACTGTTGTTGTGGTTATGAAGATAGCCCGTGCACCACAACCTTCGATTCATGTATGAAAAAATGTACTGAAATTAAATATTGTTGTACTGACAAAATATAAATGTTATAACATGATAAACATATCATTAATAAAACGAATTGTCTTTATTCCTCATAACATATCAAATTATATTTATTTTGGAATAGTTGTCTTGGGTTGATCCCGTGTGTTTGCTTGACAAAGCTAGGAGATGATTGGATGCAACTTGTTTGACTATGTTTTGGTTGATTTGGTCATTTCAGAATAGCTTATCGTTTAGCACTCGCAAACCTGTCAAGGTGTTGCTTTCAGATTCTCTTCAATCATAGTTGTTTTTTTTTAATTAGACAAAGGAATCCTAAGTTTTGTGTTAACCCGGGTGAAAACTCCTTTTTTTCAAACTCTTGCTATGTAATTTTCTACATTTTTCTAGATTTTTAATATTAATACTGTCGTTAAAAAATCAAATAATATTTCTTTTGTTTTTCTATAAGCATATTAGGTTTTGTGAGATTAAGGATCAATTATGAATTTTGTTTATTGGATAAAGTTTTATCCTGATATAGTTTTTATTCATAGATACTCATTATCTTTGATAAATTTATTTTCTCTTCATGAATATCAAGATGTTATGATATTATGCATCATAAGACGCCAAAAAAATTAAAACAATATGTTGTTTAAGTGGGTCGATACCTTTTATTTATTATGTAAACATGTCATACATATAAAAGCCACAAAAAATTACAAATGGAAAACACACAAACACACACACACACACATATATATATATATATATATATATATATATATATATATACACACACACAAACACACACATAAGTGTTGAAAAAATCTCGTCTAGGTTCAGATTAATCTCTAATTAGTCCCTAGGTGTTTCCTGATCGACTAGTTTATTTTTGAAAATAGTTTAATATTTATTCTTTGTATAAACCTAGCCATATATATATATATATATATATATATATATATATATATATATATATATATATATATATATGGCTAGGTTTATACAAAGATGAATTATATTATGTGGTCGTATGTGGCAAGTATTATTATGTATGAATGACTAAGATAATATAACGTTTGGTAACATGAATATGTTAAGTATTACATAACTATTGTCATTATCACACATTCTTACTATATCTCATTCATTCTTGTTTTTGCACATCTTTATTTATTAGCTCTCATTGTTACTAAATACAATTATAAATAACACATTCTCACATAATGAAAACCATAAAAGTCTAGGTACCGATTAATCTCTAATTAGTCCCTAGGCGCTTCCCGGTCGGCTAAAAGGCACCTAACGATTAAATCTATGCCTACAAAATAAGCAATGCAGTAGGAAACAACGAAAGTTAATACTTTGAAAAAGTTCTATTTTGATAGAAACTATTTAAGGAATAATTACTTAATTAGTATTGTATTAATTATATTAATCTATTTTGTTATGATATTCGTGGTATTTAAGAACTCTTGTTAATATATTAGCCATATTTTTTAAAATTCAACGAATTAGCAATTTTTGGTCTCCGTGTAATCCCCTAATTAATCCTCGCCTAGGCTATTCATCCTTTAACATCAGTACACCCAATAGTTAACGTCTACCGTTTTTTACAACCATGATATATATATATATATATATATATATATATATATATATATATATATATATATATAAAAGTAATTATTTACCATTACATTTTTCTTGTAATTTATATGTTGCTTTGACTATTTCCAAATTCCGAAGAAAGTTATCATTTTTCAAAAAATTTAAAAAATTAGTTATTATTAATACACTAGTTGTTCATACAGATCAGATTACTCAATTTTCATATATATATTTACCATTACATTTTTCTTGTAATTTATATGTTGCTTTGACTATTTCCAATTCAATTGAATTTCATTTCTCCAATTTGATGCACAATATCTCTTTGGTCGTTTTATGTAGGAATCTATTAGTGTTCTTTTTTTTATTTTGAGTAAATGACATAAAAGTCGCTAGCTTTTCATTTTTTCTTTCGAATTTGACACTGCGTTTTTTTCTTGTTATAATTAAGTCACTATATTTTCAATTTGTTGCAGTTTTGACCAGTTGACCGATTTCCTTCAGTTTATCCCGTTGACATTGTTGATGTGGCATGATGACGTGTTAGAAGCGAAAAAAGTGGCGCAAAAGTCGTTATGTTTTTATTTTTTGTGATTTTGACACTAAGTTTTCAATCTTTTCCAATTTTGATATTAAGTTTTCGATGTTTTCCAACTTGCAACATAAATGAAATAAGCATATCCAATTTCCACCCCCATCAATGAAAATATTCGTTTGTATATAGTGTTTGTTTATCCTATATTTGTAAATAATATTTGAACTTTATCACGATATATACCCTTTGGGTTTCACTTATTCCTTGAGGGCGAGGCAATACTTTTATTGAATTTTGTGTTCCTCCTCCCTCGTTTCTCTGACCTTGCATCGTGTATGTAAATAACTTATTTTCATAACTCAAAACCATGTCTGCCTTTTGGTCGTAAATAAATTTGTAGTGCATTTCTTGACTCAAAATTAAATCCTACATGCCTTTAATTTTATCTTAAAACATAAAGAGAGAACCATTGATCGAATTAAAAGAAATAAAGAAAGAGACAATTAAAGACCAACTTATGCTTTGATGGCATCATAGATCGCATAGAAAAGAGGTGAAGGTACATCAATGGTAGGACCTAAACCAATATTAACAATGACACATCTTTTCCTATCAACCATTCCTCCAATCACAACTCTTGTTACCAAACCCGTACCTATCACATTCACTTTCATCACATTCTTCCAAACTTCTTCTTCAAACACATGAAAAAACATAGCTGCAGGATAAGCCACCCTGCCATTATTCACCAAAATACCCATGTCTAGTTGTTCACCATAAATCACCTTTTGCATCCCCTTAACTCCGATCACCATATTCTCGCCAAAAAATCCACTGTTAAAATCTTGATCTTGGTGTTTAGGTGCACCGATACAATCTCATCAAAAACTTCTTTAAGCTTGGATAGGTTTATGCTAACCAAGATTAGGTGATTGCCATTTTGAGCTAGTTGGAAGGCAAAGGATTTGGTGATGCCGTTGGTTTTCTCCGATGATGATAGCACATGAACCATAGTTTTTGAGGTTCTTGGATGGTCGGAAGAAAGTGATGAAAACCAAATTGAGGATAGTTGTAATGAGTTTGAAAAGAGAAAGAAAACCAAATACATAAATTGTAGCAATTATATATTTGTATATGTTTATTTCATTTATATTCTATTTTTAATCTGTTGTACACATATTTTTTTTTTTATTATAGGGTAAATGGAACAGTTATGTCTTTCCATGGATTTATTTCATTTACGTTGCAAATTGGAGAAAATCGAAAAATTAGTATCAAAATTGAAAAAGATTGAAAATTTAGTGTCAATATCGCAACAAAATGAAAACATAGTGTCTTTTGACACATCATCATGCCACATGTCAATATTGATAACATGATGATGTGAAGCAAACCGGTCAACTAGTCAGAATTGCAACAAATTGAAAACGTAGTGATAATTGTAAAAGAAAAAAAATGTGGTGTCAAAATCGAAAAAATGAAAAGTTAATGACTTTTCTGTCATTTACGTATTTATTTTTTAACTCTACGTAAATAATTGTAGAAATATTCTCTACTAAAATCAAACATTTCTCGTAATAAATAATAGCTATCTAAAGTGATACAAAAAGACCTATTTGCTAATATGATTTTTGTGTAAATTATGAAAATAAGATTGCATATTTTATATGAGGTGTTAATTCAGAGCGAAATTGGTTTGTTCGAGCTTAATTGCGATGTTCTCGGCCACTGAATCAATTGGTTGGTTGAGTTGATCTTGCGTCATTAATAAGCCTTAGTGACACCTGGTTAGGGAGTGTATCCTTATGATGATACAAAACAAAGCAATAAACTTTTACAAAAGGTATAGCACTAGGCCTCTACGTCCAGTATAGACTTATGCATTTGCATACTTTTTGGCACTAAAAAGTTTTCTTTTGTCGTGGGTGAAGTTGTGTTAACACTACGTAAAACTGATTTGACATTATGTGTAGGTAACAAGTGACCACAATGTAATAAACCTGAAAGCACACTATGTAATATGACAACTTATATTTACAAACTTGTTCGTGTAGGACTGATATGCATAAAACTGATTTTTTGTTAACATGATCGTAGGTCGACATTAAGATGCCCAAAAAGTGAACTGGGTGTTAAACGAGTTAAGTGGCCACTAACAAAAGTTAACACGTTTTTTGTACACTTTCCATTTTCCAATTGTTCCTGTGAGTAGTCCGATGAGTACACGGCTTATTAATTATTATAACGAGTAAAATATAGTTTTGGTCCCCAGGGTTTGCACCAATATTCACTTTTAGTCTGATTTTTGAATTTTTAACATGACTCGTCCCTGTGATTTCCATAACATGCACTTGTGGTCCATGAGGCTTGATACCATCTAATATGCTCCATGAAATACATGTGAAATGACTAAATTGGTTGTTTATTTCCCATTACTTGATTACTTAATTTCTATTTTAATTATCAAAGGAAAGAACCACCATTAAACACCAATCATCCATTAGTACAAAACTAGTATTTGGCCACGCAAAAAACCCGTCATTATAGATATTTTATGATGATTTTTTATTTTATTCAATGTGTAAGGAAAGATCGTATCACTAATGATAAGTTATGGTGATGTTTAATTTTGGTGACTATAACCCATAAAAACCGTCACCATAGGGTACCAATTTTTGTAGTTTTTTAATCATTCTTTGATAAACGTCACCATAAACTACTTTCCCTCACAAGTTGTTTTCTTTTTATGACTATTGCTGCCTTTTAGTGACACATAATAGATTAAAGTGTAACCATAAACTACATTTAGTCACATGTTTTTTCGTTAGTCGGGACTATTGTTGAGTTTTAGTGACACATAATATATTAAACCATGACCTTAAACTACTATTAGTCAGACATTTTTTTAGTTTTTCAGGACTATTGTTGACTTTTATTGATACGTAATATATTAAAACGTGACCATAAACTACTATTACTCACATGTTTTTCATTTGACATGGCTATTGTTGACTTTTAATGACACGTAACATATTAAACAATGACTATAAACTACTTTTAGTCACATGTTTTTTTGTTTGTCATGACTATTATTGACTCTTAATGACAGATAATAGATTAAACGGTGACTATTGTTTACTTTTAATCACACTTTTTTGTTTGTCGTGACTATTGTTGAACAACTTAAAATAATTTATATTTCAAACATTGATCAATTAACATCATGTATTTATCTGATAAACAACTTAAACTAATAAATAAAATATAGCATTGACATATACATTCACATTCACATTCACATTCAAATATGAAAAGTATGTTGGCAACAACAATTTGATAAATCATTACAATAAGTCATCATCTCCAACTGTCAAGCCATAACAAGTACAAATGTAACATTACAATGGATTCGCATTCATATACACAATCCCTATTAGTCCCTTTAATAAACGCATCTCCATGAACAGGAAAAAAATCATCACTTCATATAGGCAACATAGTTTATCTTTTACACATAATATAGGCTATCTTTTACACATAATATAGGCAACATACTTTATCTTTTAAACATCATCACTTCATATAAGAAATAAATTATCTCTTTTAATGAATATAAGCAACATAATTTATAGTTTACACATAATAGAAATGTTCTTACATTTTTACTCGCAACAGCAACATACTTTCATTTTCTAGTACCTACAAATTAAAAAAAGCAATGCGGACAGAAGATGCTCCTTTTTCTTTAACATACAACCTAAACTTAACCATTATTCACCAAACACACAACCATCAATAATTGGTTATCAAAATTGCAAATTAAAATATACTCCAATAATTTCGCATCAACATAAGCAAATAATTAGAATGAAAACAAAACCTAACTAAACTAAATCGATTAATTGAGTTAATAAAGCATCAACAAGCAGTCAATACCTCATTTCACTTGATTCCCTTTTGTTCGAGTTCTCTGAGTCTTCACAGAATCCAACACAATACTTGTTTTAAATAAGATATTATTAAAGACTTCAATCCAAACACTTGACAATCAAAGATAAAAAGAAACAAAAAAGGAAATCAAAGACAAAGACTAACCAAATACAATCATACAACGAACCTAGACACACAAACTTCTGCCTTCAGTGAGTACATAGGTAGGAATTTGAATAGATTATTGCCTAAATTCAAGTACTACAAAAAACAATTGAATACATTAACTCAAAGGAGAAGAATCAGTACTCTCAAGGTAACTCGATCACCAGATTGAGAAATATTTTGATTTCGAGTAACTTGTGGGAGTCTTTAAGAATGAGAATTTGTAAAGATTGGAGAACCTGATGAAACATTAACATCGTAAAACCCACCAAAAGACTATAGAAACAAAGAAGCTAAAAGACCAAAAAATAAGAAGAGGATATATATCACCCCTATGGAAATCGATTCTGTGACAACCCGAAAATTTTTAAAATTTTTCCTGATAAAGCTCAGCCAGTCAACTCAACTGAGTGTCAAACTCATGTCTGCTATCATTTAGCCTTGTTTAGAGTCCATTTAAAGGTCCAAAGGTTAGTACATTCAAGCATTGAACATAGAAAAGGATCGCGTGCGCTTTTAGCATCAAAACCGGGCCTTACACTCCAACACAAGGAGTGTACGGCCGCACACATGGGTGTGCGGCCGCACACCCCTCTCCTGGCAGCACACTCACGGGTATAAGTGTAGAACTCAGCCTCCTTTAATCATTTTTCACCCTCCCAAGCTTAGAACTCGATTTTGCTCTCAACTACTACCAGATTTTCAGCCTAAATCTTCAAGAATCTAAGTGTTCTTCCTTTGGTTTGTTGCTAATCTTCATAAACTAGTTACAACCTTTGATTTCATCCATTTAAAATCGTGTTTTGGTTAGATCTTCAAATCTTCATTCATTTCACCAAGAACACACACTTGTTCTTGGCGATTTTGAGCCTTCCCGAGCTTCCGGATCGTAAGTACTTCTTCCTAATGCTTGAAACTTGTTAAGAACACTTGTTTAAGTCCTTAGAAATGCCTAGAACTCGTGACCTTATGGTGTGTGCGGCCGCACACACTCATGTGGCCGTACACCCTTCAAACACCCTCAAAAACACCACCAAAACACCCCTAAAGGCTTGTATACTGTAAATACCACTCCCCAAGCTTGTTACCTACTAGATAAGAGCCTTAGAAAATGTCCAAAACATGTTCATCAAGGAGTGTGCGGCCGCACACACTCACGTGACCGCACACCCCTTTGTTTGGTGCTTTAGGGCTTCCAAAGTTCCTTTCTAGCTTCAACACTTGATGAGCATCAGCCCTACAAGCCTCCCCACCATTTGGAAAACGTTTTGAGCACACTTTACCATGAGTGTGCGGCCGCACACTCCCCTGGCCGCACACACATGGCCGCACACTCCCTTAAGTGGCCGCACACTCCCTTAGTTTGAATCACATGTGATTCCAACACTTGGCCAAGGTGTTTCCTAGTCCCGTGAGGTGTTTTCTTGCATTTGGTTGCTTCTAAACCCTATATTTACGTCAATATATGCTATTATATGTCATTTAGGACTCGTTAAGTCTCGGGACTTCATTCGTGGAACTTCTTATCCGTACACGCATACCCGTTTGAATCACCCACATCAGGTGAGTTCATACCCCGTAATGAATCTTTTAATTGTTTTAACTGTTTAAGGGGGGATACATGTTGAACACAATGAAAATTGTGTAAATGTTTGTTATAAACATCTTTCGAAATGTTACTTATGTTATTTATAAGTTGTCAAAACATTTCAAAAACTCT